ACACACACACACACACACACACAAAAAAAATTAAAAAAAGAGATATATTTCTTACATGTCTTTTTTATTATGTATCTTTCACATATCAAATTTTTTAGTTCACTGTTTAACTACTTAATTCTGGTTCCCATCTCAACTTGACCTTTTCTGCAGCCATCAAGTGAATTCCACCTCACAGCAACTCTGTAAGACAGTTTAGAACTGGCCCATAACCAACTGCACCACTAACACAATTCTGTCTTCCATGACCTGAATTTCCTAGTGTGTCCATGGGAGAAAGATAAGCAGCAGTCTTCTCCCACAAGGATTTACTCAGAAACCTGATGGTCACTAGGAATTGGAACTGACTCCATGACACTGCTACTTGTGTGAGGATTCTTGCTGACACACACTGCCACATCTTTGGATGAGTAACTGGCAGAGTTTGAACTACAAACACTATGGTGAGCAGCTGACAGAGTACTCACTGCACCACCAAGGCTGCTTCCTGAATGTCAAAGACCTGTTAAATGCCATAAATAAGGACCATTGCCAGCCATTTTCCCTGGCATCATGGAATTTGATGACGTTAGGTGCCATCAAGTTGACTTGATCACTACTCACAGCAATGCTCTGAATAACAGATCTGAACCCGAACCTGGACCATCCTCATGATCTGCCATGCTCAAGTTCATTATCATAGTCACAATGTCATGCCCATTCATCTTGTTGAAGATCTTCTCTTTTGTTGACTCTCTACATTTCCCAGCATGATGTCTCTCAACAAAGACCTGTTCCTCCTGAAAATATGCCAAAAATAGGCAACACAAAGTTTCTCAATCCCTTCCTCTAAGGAACACAGGAAAAATCTGCTATCAGGGACCTCTTCAAAGTGCTGAAGGGCAAGGACATCACTTTAGAGACTAAGCTGTGCCTGATCCCTGATCCAAGTGATGGTCTTTTCTTGATACTTCCTGGACCATTTAATATTCTGCCCAAAGTATCCTTAAGTATTGCCACCCATGGCTTGAATTTGTTTTTCAGCTCCTTCAGCTTAAGAAACACTGAGTAAATTCGGCCCTTTTGATTTTCTGACTCCAGCTCTCTGCACATTTCATTATAGTATCTTGCTTTGTCATCCTGGGCTGCCTTCTGAAATTTTCCGTTTAGCTCTTTGATTTTTTTGTTTCTTCCTTTAGCTTTGGCTTCTTGGCGCTCTAATGCAATATTCAGAGTCTCATCTGACATCTGTCTTGGTCTTTTCTTCTTTTTCAGCCTTTGTAATGATCTTTTGCATTCTTCATAGGCGATTTTCTTGATATCCTCCCAGAGCTCATTTGGTCTACGCTCATTGGTGCTCAAGGCCTCAAACCTGTTCCCGAGATGGTTTTGAAATTCAAGTGGGATAGACCTAAGATCAAATTTTGGTTCCCATGGACTTGATTTAATTTTCCTCAACTTCAGCTTGAACCTGCATATGAGTAGTTGGTGG